GGGGACAAGGAGGACCCCAGGAGACCTCTCAGAGAGACAGGACACGGCTGAGGAAATGGAGTAGGGGCTGGTGATGCTGCCAGAGTGAGTATCATGTCCCCGTCCTGAAAACCCTTCAGTGACTCAAAACCTAGAAGCAATGCCTGAAGTTTGTTGTCCAGGACACTAGTTCTATGTCGAATTAGTGATAATATTCACTGAAACCTTACTCTATGCCAGCCACTAAGTGCTTGGACTATATGAGCTCACCAATTTTACGACTTGAAGGAGGAACTGTTAGTCTCCCCTCTTATCTGATCAAGCCGAGGCACAGAGATGCTTAGTGACTTGCTCAGGGCTACGTGACCAATGCGTGGTTCTGAATCTGGGTGATCTGGCTCAAGTCTTCATTTCGTAACCATTGTGCTCTCTGGCCTGAAAAGCTTTATGTAAACACAGAGTTTTGTGTTCAAGTAAGTTTGGGGGCTGCAAGCATGTTCATTGTTTTTCAGGACTTCTCAAAGACCCATCTGAATTTCCATAGACCTGTGTGAAACTGTACCTGTCCTGTCTTCCTCCCCTTCTCTCAGGAGTCATCTTCCCCTTTCTTGTCTTCTTTTCAGACTTGCCATCTCCTCGTTATTATAAGCTTATAAGCTCTTTTCTTCATCACTAATCCCCCCTCTACTGGATCATTCTGAGCAGCATGCAGACGTGCCCTAGTAATTCTCATCTTTATAAAAACCTCGCCCTTATCCTCTTCCATTTTATGACCCATTTCTCTGCTCCCATTCACATCGGGACCTCTGGAAAGATTGGTCTGGGCATGATGTCTTCCCTTCACCTCTCATACGTACTCAGCCCACCCTGTCTAGCTTCTAGCCAGTCACTCTACTACACTTGGCCTGGACCACAGTGATAGCTCCCTGCAGTCCTTTTACCCCCCACCCCCAATTGATCTGCTCTCCACCAGTGGGCGGAGCCTTGTTGAAATGCAAGCCCATTCATGTCAGTTGCCTTAAAGCCCTTGAATCTTTCCTACATCCCTTAGAATAAAAATAACTCCTTTCCATGGGTGACCCGGTCCTACAGTGTCTGGCCCCTGCCTGGCTGCAGCTCTGTTCACGTCCCACCATGCCAACAAGGGCTCTGGCACTCACACAGACATCTGTACCTCTTCCCCTTCTGCCTGCCGCTGTCTGGTTGCATGGCTGCCACCCTGTCAGTCTTAATTCAAATATCACCTCCTCAGGGAGGACTTCTGACCAATTTGTCTAAAATACACCCCCTGAGGTCACCTTTTTCCGAGTACTTATTACAGTCCAAATGTATCATGTTTACATTTACTTCTGTTAAAAAAAAAAAATTCAGCTGAGTACAGTACTTTTAAGGATCTTGCTGGCTCCATTGAAGGATTCATGAATCAGGGAACATGCAATCTAACCGAAAAGAGCTCTGAGGAACTGAAGAAAATAAAGATTCATAGGTAGAAGGGAGCAGGAACAAGGAAGTTACAGTGGCAAAAAAAACAAAACAAAAAACAAAGTCTTGAGTATTGCAAGGCCACTTTCCTTTAGGGGATACAGGGGTCATTCAGGCAGATGACCTCACCAGTGCTGATTGGGCAACTTGGTTGACTGGTTTAAGATTCCATTTCTGGGAGAGCAGAAATTGTAATCAACTGTTGTCTTGTTTTTAACACTGCTTTCTGGTCTCTCTTCCTCTAGGGAAGTTCTATAAAAGCCGTGCCCTGTGGTCTTGCTCTCCTCTGTCCCCACATGCATGGAGAGCCTGTGAATCTCCACAGTGGACATAATGTGCAGTGGGGAAGTGTCATCCTAGAGCGTGAGGCTAACAGCATGTCCCCACCCACCATGACAGGTCCTTGCCACCTTCTCCAGCCCTTCCCCCACCACCCTCCCCCGCCACTAGCACACACACCCCTTTTGCTCTAGCTATACGCGTTAGTAGAAAAAACTGAGTTCAGGTGTCACTTCTGTCAGGGAGCCTTTCCTGACCCCTTATAACATTCATTTTTCATCTTGTGCATAACCTCCATCAAAGCATGATTGGGGGAATGTTTTAAAAGTATCAAGCCAGCCCCTTTCCAACGTGGATTAGTAGTTCAGAATACAGGCTCTTACGTTAGACTCCCTGGGATGGAAGCCTGACCCCCTCCATTGACGTGTGTGTGATTGTGGGCCAGAGCCTTAAAGTCTCAGTGCTCCCGATTCCTCCCTGGGCTACAAAGTGCAGAGAATCACGTCACCGACACCCTCAGGACTACACAAGACACATGTGTAAGGCGCTTAGTCCTGATGGCGCCAGCCCTGCTCTGCCATCACCCTCATTCTCCACATGCGGGAGCTGAGAGCATCGGAGTTTAGTTTCGCCGAGGGCTTCCAGCTCTGGGGACCTAGCCAGGCACTGTGCTCTGTGCCAAGGCGCTTTCCATGGCTTTCTCCTGCTTTCCCACAGTTCGGCACCTCATGGGTTTTGTCGTGGGGCTTGTTGGGGCATGGAAGTGATAGTGACATGCCTAGTAGGAAGGACAGTGACTTCTGGCAAAGGTGGTGGTTCTTGGTGGATACAAGAGTATCGAGATGTGGCAGCAGTGGTGTGGGTAACTGTCACAGCTACTTAGCTGTGAGCTCGTATTATATGGTACGTCCCTTTGTGACAGAGCTACTTAGGATATTGGAAGAACTCCCCACGGGGCTGGGGCCCGGCATCAAAAGGAGGGGGAGTGAATGAAATACGTTGTGAGTGTTACTGGTTCCATTTATTACCCACAGGCCAGGGAACATGGATACACGGACTCCATTCAGAAGACCTTCTACAATGTGGAGTAAACATGGTTCACACCTGGTTCATTATTCAACAACCAGGTAAATCAAGGAACATATTTGTGTTTCTCTCTCACACACACCCTTAAAAATGTATTCTAACTTCTTTAAAAATGTACATCATTTGTCAACTCCTTTGTTGTTTTCCGGCATGAGACTTAACAATTTCCAGTTTTTTCTTTAACATCAAACAGAAATTTTAAAGCACTTTGAAGTAATCTGAGAGCAGACTCCTAGATTTTTCCAGTTTTCTATTATTGCATGGTCAATTCATCCATACATAATGTGACATTTATTTTTTAGCAACTTGCCTTTACTGAGTCTTTCTAAAGCATTCAGGTGGGTTTTCAAGAAATTAATTCCCTATCTTTACATGTTCACAATTAATTGGTTTACTTAATATTAAATGATGTCATTACAGTAATAGGCCAATACTGATGTCAATACAATAATTACAACTTGAATCCACAGGTTCTGTCAATGAACTCAATTGGGGAGAATCGGAATGGATGGGGTCAGGGTACGGGGCCAGAGCCCGTCAGCCTCGGTGCTCAGTGTGCTTCACAAGCACAAGTCAGCACGTTTCACAGACAGGATGGAGAGTGCTGCTTAAATGGAAATTGGAGGACAGAACTTCTACTGAATATTGCCAATTAATTTTCAATGAAAAATCGCATTTGCAGATCCTAGTTTTGCCAGCAGGTGGCAGATGTGGCTCTTGAGCTGGTTTTGGCCAAGGACTTGGCCAGAAGCTGGGCCTTGGCCAATATTAGTGGCTAAGCAAGGAAAGACGACTTCCCTTTGGTATGTGTAACCCCTTTGGTCTTTTCTGTTCCTTTGATAGCCTGGTGGTATTTTATCTCCAGGTCCAAGTGGGCAGAATTCCAGGCCTGTGGTGAGGGAACTGAGGACGCTAGGAATACACTGGCGTTCCCATTTACCTTCTGCTAGCCTGTTTCTCCTCTGAATGGGGAGTGTGGGGCCAATTCCTACATTACTGGGTGGTTGTAAGAATCAGTCACTTCATATTCTTCTCTTTCTCCTTGAAACAGAGGGGAGGGCAGTGTTTCACCTTCTGGGAAAACTGGCCACCCAAATTACCTGCTGTGATGGCAGTGGGCCTGAGAGCAGGTGCAGGTGTTGCTCTCCACTGAAACCCCACTCAGCGCTCCCCAACAGAGCTCTGAGCACTGATGCCAGCACTTCCTGGGAGCACCGAGGCCTTGGCATTCAAAGCATTGGTGCAGTAGTTTATACCTGACTCTAGGTAGATGGGTGGTTGGGCCTATCTAGGACTTCTCCGGAGACAGTAATCAGAAATTGGGATACCTTGGTGACTCTCCACTCCCCCAAAAAACCACTGCAGGTTACTGCTCCAGGTAACAACAGGCACTATGTAAGGAAGGACACTGAACAGGAGCAAGCGAAGGGACACTGGTGTGGCATTGCCTGTGCTCCAGAGGCCAGTCCCCTCTGCTCGAAGGCGGCTTCTTTGGTGCCTCCCCATGGTGCATCACGAGCTCTGGCCCAGGACAGGGCTGTGTGTGGTGGTGGCCAGGGAGAGGCTTTCTGGATGTATCTACCTCAACGGGAGCCTTGAAGTCTGAGGATGAACTGGAGGAGGAAGCTGGATGGGCATGGGAGAGGGATTAGCACTAGCTCAAGGGAAGTCTGCAAGGGAGCTGTGCACAGCCTGAGGCGCGGGCACCTGGAGGACAGGGAGAGGGCATGTCCCAGCACATTAAGGGGTTCACCTTTCCCACCTGTGCCCTGTCACCCTGTATAGGCCCAGCTGCAGAAGCAGGGAGTGCGGCTCCCATCTGAGCTCTCATATGCTCCAGCCCTGGAACAGAGCTGGAGCCAAGCAAAGGGAAGTTTACAGTGGAAGAGGAATTTCAGGACAGACACCAGCTGCAGAGGCCCAGGTGGCTCAGAGAGGAAAGGAAGGGGCAGGAAATCATCCTGCCTTGTGCACAGGCAGATGGAGCTGACAGCACACGGATTTGCATAAATCCAGCTGCAGCGACCCTGACAACTACTGCGTGCTCCTCAGGGAGCTTCAGAGTGGGCTTCTGAAGGCCCCATGGCATTCCAGCCATGAGACACCTTGGGGACTTCGAAACCTGACAGAAACAGTAGAGATCACTCAGTAACCCGTTTTGCATGACTGTAAAGAAGGAGTCAGGCATCATGCTTTCAGAGCAAATTTAATAAAGAATGCAAAATGTCCCCAGTGGGCTACTCGGATCCCAGGTGCCATGTGTTTTGGTGGCCAAGGGACTGTCCCCTCTGATACTCGCTAGGCCCTGCACAGTCACAGCAGCATCCAGATCGTTTTGGGGAGATCAGGCTCCCAGCGGTACCCCCGCCCCGGGTGTCAGGACTCCTCTCTCCAGCTGGCTCTGGAGCACCTGGTACCGAGGCCCAGTTCCAAGCTGAGTGACTTCTGGCTCCTCTGGAGGCCCGAGGCCCTCTCTGCTGGGGGGAGGAGGGTGAGCAGCACAGCAAAGTGAGTTCCTTTACTGTGGGGCTCCAGCACCTTTTGCCCCAACAGTCAGGCTTCCCAGGGTGGAAAAAAACTCCTCCATTTCCTTCTGCAGCAGCTGGTTCCTCTTCTCTGCGTCTTCCCGTGCCCGCTCCGAGTTCCTCAGCTTTATTTCCAGCATTGTGTACTTTTTCTTTTCCTGGTCCAGTTCTTCTTCTAACCATGACATTCGTTTCCTCAGGTCAGCAGAACCTTCTTCGAGTCTATAAAATCAAGAAGAAAGACACTGTTTTAGAGTTTGGCTCACTGGGCTTGCCAAGCGAGCTCCATTTTTGGCAGCCGTGTGCCTCCTGCACCCATAATGGGGGGAAGGATCTGGTCAGGCTGGGCCTGGTGGAGCAGGACCTGTGTGGGCTCAGGCCCAGCACGAGGCGAGGCTGCACATGCCTCACCTGCTCCTCACCAGACCCCTGTACTTCACCCCTGGAGGACCTGCCTCAGCCTGTGCTCCAGAAACGCCAGTGTGAGGATTTGGGCCTCTGGCCCTCGAGGCTGGAGGTCTCCCTGAGTCCTCACTAAAATATAAACTCACTTATCCTCTGGCACAGCCAACTGTCCTGCGGAGGGATGGGCTGCCCCACTGGCGGGGAACAGGAAATTGTCCCCTCATCTGTGCTGTGTTATGAGGCCCCTTGAGCTCTGGCCTCCCTCCCACCTGCTGCCCACCCTGTGCCCCCACCCTCCCCAGGCCCCAGCCAGACACAACTTGCAGTTGTCACTTCCGTCCCTACTCAGCCTTCATGCCCCAGCTCAGTATCTCGCTCTCTGAAGCTTGTCCTGAGCCTCCCCAGCAGGTCAGGTTGCTCCTTCTGCCACAGCAGAGCCACAACACACACTTCTGTGGAGGCTGACACTGAACAAAGGTCGGCACATCTGTCTCTTCAACCAGACGACCAGCTCCTGTAAGGCCTGAGGGACACTGAGCCCAGCCCCTGGGAATAGGCATGGCTACTTACAAGGCACGTGACTATGGACAGGACACAAACTTCCCTGAGCCCTGGTGTCCTCTTCTGAAAAATGCAGGGACAGTCTCCCCCAAGCACTGTAGCTGCAATGGACAAAGACCACATGTGCACAGCACAATGCCTGGTACATGGTGTATGTAGAACGAATATCAACTCCCTGCCCAAGCCAGGACCAGGCCAGGCCTCCATCTCCATCACTGAACATAGAGAACCTCCCTTCATCCCAGCCTTCCATCTGGGGAGCACGGGCATGCTGTCAGAAAGAAGGCCCCCAAGGCAGGTGGCAGGGCCCCCAACCCCCATGCTGCTTCTCCTTCCAGGCCCCTTTGCCAGCTCCTCCCCATGTCCTGGTGCTCTCCAGCTCAGGGCCTGGGCCACCCCTTTCCTCTCCATGACACTCCTTGAGTGACCTCATCCAGTCCTCAAAGCACCCTCTATGTGCTAATGACCCTCAACCTGCATCTCCCTCGACTCGGCTCAGAAACTGAACAAGCACCTCTAACCTCACAGGACCACAGCTGAGCCCCTAACCCTTCTTCCTCCAACCACGCCTTCCGCAGCCCCAGTCTCCTCCACCAGCGAACACCTTCTTCCAGTTGCTAGGCCAAAATGAAATGTCCCTTAAGTCAGTTCTTTCTCTTCCCCCCACATCTAATCAGTTCACAAAACCTTCCAAATGTGTTCACAGTCTGGCTCTTCTCCCCATCTCGACTGTTGCCCTTTAGGTCCATGGCCACCAGTCTGGCCGGGACCCCCGCCGTCTCCTAACTGGTCAGGCTGGCCTCAGCACAGCAGCCAGGTGCCCCTGTCAAATTGATCAAAGTGCTCAAGGCCTCCAGGCACTTCGAATCTCACTGGGCATGAAATCCAGAGCACATCTCTGCCCCAAAGGCCCGGCCCCCACCTGCCCACTCAGCTTCAGCGCCTCACACCGCAGCCCCTGGCCTCTGCACCGGCCTTGGCTCCGGCTGCTCGCTGGGCCCACAGCACTGGCTGGGGAGCTCCTCTGGCCTCCAGCAGTGCCCGCCAACCTTCTGACCCACGCTCCCCTTCTCTGTTTCATTGTTCTCCTCCTTTAGCTAACTTTCTTACAAATCACATATGTTTGAAAATCTAATTTAAAGTTTCTCTGTGTGCCCCCCACCACCAAATAAGGGGGCAGAGATTTTGATCAGTTTCGGTCACAGCTGTGTCCCCAGCATCTAGCACAGTGTCTGGCATATCACAGACACTCAATGTATTCTCTTTCGGGGAGTGTAGGAATCAGGGCGCAGGGGAACCAGGGCAGGAAGCTGGCCTGCCTGCCCCCCTAGACCAGACGCAGTGCTGATTCCACATGTACAGACAGACTCCCCAAGGCCCATGGGATGGGGCCCCATTTCTTCCTGTGCTCAGAGGCCTTCCTCACTCCTCACTCCAGACCACCGCTCCAACCAGGACGACGGCTGGCACCATTCTGCGAGAGGGGGGACTCCAGGGGCTGCTGCTGCTGTCCCTTTGGCTCTGGGGGCCTTATCTTACCTCCAACCCACCGAGCAGGAGGTAATGAGAGCAGTGACGGCCTCCTAAGTGCTCCAGATGCCGCAGGCTCTGTGCTGAGCACTGCCACTCATCATGTCACTTAATCCTCATGACCAATGTGTGAGGTCACCCGAGCCCAAAGAGCCTGCCCGGATGGACACTCGGTCAGTATACACAAGGGTCAGAGAGCCTGCCTGGGACACGGGGTCAGTACTTGAGGGGCACGGACTCAAGCCCAGGCAGTCTGACCCAGAACCTACCATGAAACAACACTGCATTTCCCAAGCTTGAGAAATGAAGCCCGTGAGAAGGTGAAAGATGAGAAGTTCAAGTGTGAAGTTGAACCTCCTGTGAGGCTGTCTGATGCCCGGTTCCACAGGGTAACACTGCCCATGTAGTCTAAAGCTTTCGTCTGGGCGCTCATCTCCAGCGATAATCACCTTCCTCTGTACCTGTCAGGTGCTCCCACTGGTACCCCTGCCTGGTAAATCCGGTGTTTACATTTGTGGGGCTTCCCCACAATTTTATTCCTCATGGTTTGCCTCATGCGTGTCCTTTCTCCTCCTCGCTCGGCTTGATCCTACTGGCCCTTCAGGTCCTGACTCAGACATCGCCTGCTGTGACCTTCCCTGACCTCCCTCATGTCAGGGGCCACGCCCTGAAAGCCCTTCTCCTGTCATATACCCGCCAAAGACACAGCACCTGTACAAGCGTGACATTCACTGGGTGCCCAGGACATGGCTACCGCAGAGCAAAAGGGTCAGACACCACAGTTCCAGCTCCCAGTGGAAATCCCAGGCTCAGAATTAGAAGCAGGAATCCCTTCTGCCTCCACTGTCTCTGATGGAGAAAGGACGCCCTCAGAACCCTCTGACGTCCTCTTCCAGGAGGTGGGAACTGGGTTCAGAGGTCAGACAGCTGGGTAAGATGGACTAAGGAGTCTGGGATGCTGATGGAAACACTGTGCGCTGTCTGGGGCACCTGCTGGTGACTTAGCTGGAGAACCTGGCCTCTCAGAGCTAAAAACACCCTCCTTACAGGGAGGCTGGGACAACTGAACTTGGGCCAAGCCTTGGAATGTAGCAGAAAGCGTTGTCCAGTGACCAGGGCAGGTGGGAGGGCTTGGCTCAGCAGGGCCAGCTCCCTCCTCAGAGGAAACTGGATTCCGGCCCGGGAAGGACTCCTCAATCCCTGTCAGACCCGACCATGGTTAGCCAGCCAGCCAGGCTGGCCTGGGCCTGCATTACATGTGGGCACATCCCCAGGCCCAGAGCCAACTCGGGGGGCCTGCCTCCTCCTTGACTGAGGGCCACATAAGGACCCCCAATCATGGCCCCTCCATCAAAGGTGCTCTGAGCAGCTCAGGCTGAGATTCTGACTCACTCCTTCAGTGGGTATTCATGGCGCTCTCTGACTGCTGCTCTGGCTTTCCCAGACATAGGACCCATACCGCTCCATCCCCAGCCTGTCCTGAGGGCATCTCCCAGAAAGGTGGCTTCTGGGGGTTGACTGCCTAGGGCCAGCACCTGGTGAGCTGCTGGCCATGAGGGCTCTGCCCGGCCAGGGGGGTAGTGGCCTTGCACTGGCCCAGTGGCTGTAGCCCTTTACCTTTTCACACTTGTCTCGTACTCAGTCCTCTGACGGCACAACTCTGCCCTGAGCTCCGTGACCAGGCCCTGGAGAGCCTCAGAGTGGCGGGCATGGTCCTGGGCCAGGCCGCCTGGGTCGCTGGGCTCGTTGCTACTGAAGCAGGTGCCCACTTCATCCAGGCTGCGGCTCAGGTCTGGGAATCTGTGGTCCTCGCTGCTGCTGGGGAAGGGAGAGGGCTCCAGGCCCTCCTCCATGTGCAGGGAGCTGCAAACAGAGGAGTTGCTGGCCCGGCAGGCTGTGCAGCTGCTGAGGGAGCCCCCGGCGGAGGCCTCGCAGGAGGAGGCCCCAGACCACGCCATGCTGGCCACACTGGGAGTGCTGGGGAGGAGGCTGGATGGGGGCACGTTGTCGTAGGTGGAGAGTCTCTGTGAGGACCCCGAGTCCTTGAGCCGGTCTCCTGATGAGGCCCGGTGGTGGCCACGCAGGGAGGACAGCCCGTTCATGAGCCAGTTCCCGCCGGAGGAGATGATGGGCACCTCCAGGGACGAGCTGCCCGCCTTCAGGCTCCCTGACTGGGATCCCGACTGCCGGAAGGAAGACTTCCAGTTGGGCAGAGTCTGCATCCTCTTCCCAGGGCTGGCGCTGGCAGGGCTGCATCGGCTCTCCGGGCCGAGGGGCAAGTTTCTAGAGAATGCTGCCACAGTGGCCCCATCCAGGGATGAGGTCCTGTGGGAGGGCAGGCTGGGGGCGCCGGGACTGCTGGGATCTGCCTCGGAGCCCCATCCCACTGTGCAAGGTGTGACCCTGTGCGGGGAGGCTGGTCCTTCCATGGCCCTCGCAGTGAAGAGCTGGCTGTGTTTGCGGATCAGGACAGTCATCAGGTGCTGGACAAGGGAAGTTCCTGCCAAGAAGACAGAAAGAGAAAGGCCTGGCTGTAAGTGTCTCCAGACCAGTCAGGGGCACTGCAGCTTGGACCCAGGGCACCTGGCTCTGCCTGCAGCCCAGAACCAGGCAGCCCTCAACAAGGGCTTGCCATCAGCCATGCCAGAGGAAAGGATGGCCACGGCACCCTCCAAATCCAGGCCCAGACAGAAGGACCCTGCCCAACAACACCCTTCCTGGACGGACAGAGTGGGGCCTGGGGCACAGAGGAGGCACTGTGCCTCCCAGCTCACCCCACCCAGCTGGGAGGAGGAAAAAGCAGGCACAGTGCTGATTAGGGCTGTGGGGTGAGGCAGGCTGGGACTAGAAACCAGCACCGGGATGTCAGAGCCCTCTCGGCTGCCCATGTCACTCCCCTGTGCTGCTGATGGTGTCTGTGCCTGCGTGTCCATGCTGTCGGGGGCCCAGGGCCCTGAGACAGGGACAGAAGTGTCTTACAGGTGCATGAGGGCACACATACACCCTTACACACAGTCACACACACACAATTCCATGTACACACAAATACAGTTCCCCCAATATGTATAATCCCTGCCCCCCACAATCACACACACATACACAGTTCCCTTCTCCAGGTGATGGTTGCTGAAGCACAGCCTGTGGTGTCTGTGGAGTACAGTTTTTGAGATTGTATGGTGGGGGTGGTGTCAGCAGCAAATGGAGCAGTGGAGGGACGGTGGTATCTACCATCTGCCCCGTTTCCTCCTGTTACCCTCAACCAAAGACCAGAGACTGGGAAGGTTTTCAGGTGGTAAGGAAGGTAGAGTACTTGGGTGGACACTCCCACTGGAGGTACCTAAGAATCCCGGAAAAAATAAAGTAAGGAATCCTTAAGCCAGAAAATTGGGTGAAGCAGGAACTCGGTGAAGTCATTAGGGTGAGCTTTCACCCTTGCACATCTGTGCAACCTGGCAGGCAGGAGCTTGGGGGCCTGGGGTGCAAGACCCAGGCAGGAAGGCCAAAGGGGGCAGGGGACCTGAGCAAGAGTGCCACTCCCACAGGCCACTCCCACAGATTGGCAGCCCAGAATAGCTCCACGGCCCACCCCTACACCCCCACATCTCTCCCAAGGAACGGCAGCTCTGCTCTTAGCTTGCCTCACGCCAGCGGCCAAGGGGTCCAGCTGACAATTGTCCTGCGTGAGTTCTGCTCAGCCTCTGCTCTCCTCAGCCAGGATTGGTTGTGGGTTTCCTGTCTGTGAGCAGCAAGGCGCACGCTAAGCCCTGCAGGTCTTCCATGGGCCTTCAAGCACAGGCCCCCATTTCCAGGCCAGTCTGCACCTGGCCCCTTTGGTAAGTCTGACTGACACTCACTTTGCCTCTCGTGGCCTCAGTTCCCTCGTCTGGGAAATGGTTCAGTAACTACAGCCCGTGAAGATTAAAATGAGGTGACACAAGTAAAGCTCTTAGTAGAGGCCCTGGCATATTGAAAGCAGCTGATATTGCTATTATTATTATTATTATTATTATTGAAGAGAAATTCCCCAGTATTTGCAAAGCTCTGACATCCAGAAGCAGCCTGTGACAATTACTTAATTGAAAATTACTTAAATAAAGCAAAAACATCTGTGTATTCAAGGGCAAGGGCCCTGACCTTCACCTCTTGCCCTCTCCTAGACATTCTAATTGCACCAGTGACCTGCTGTTACCATCCACAGGGCAAAGTTCCTTTTCCTTTTATAGCTGGACCCTATGGGTGGAGGGGGATTTGCAGGAGGCGGTGAGGAGGTCCCCAGGGATGGAGCCACCCCTCCTGCTGGCCTGGCACATGGTTCTGATGATTTGCCAAGGACCAAGGGGAATCCACCTCCCAGAGGCACCCAGCACGCCACGCACGCCCCATCACCTTCCATGATCGTCACTGGGTCTTCTATCTGTGGCCGAAGTATATTAGGTCCAAAAACAGTTGCCAGGTTCTGGACGCTCATCTTGTTGACATTTGAGTGGGACTGAACTTCATCCAGAAACCTGCCAAGTAAGGAAGAGGCAGTAGGCGGAGAACCAAATCCTGATGCCAGCTCTGCTGGGAGCTGCCTGGTGCCCACGCCCAGCCACACCCACACGTTCCCACAGCTGCTGGGCACAGCCAGCTGCCCCTGCCAACTCCGAAGAGTGCATAGCTTCCCCTGGGGTCCAGGAGGGTCCAACAGAAGCAAAGGCCAGTGGGACACAGGCCAGTTGTCAGTGTGGAGAGAGGACACATGACTGTCTCGCCGGCAGTGGGGCAGATGTCCGGCAAGGCCCCGACCCCCCCAGCACAGACTGGGTGAGGGCTGCCCTGCACGCCCTTTCCCAGTGCCTGAGCCGAGATCATGGTCAGGGGGCAGACCCCTGGGGGAGGGGACGGTGAGAGGCACCCAGAGAAGGCAGAAAGGACACAGGTGTGTCCCTTTCCTTCTGGAATGATCCACAGGGGACTTTAACACTGCCTGCTAACAGTGACAGTAAGCTTTGTGCTCCCAGGGACTGTTATTTTATATTCCCTGTTGGCTGACTGACACTCGGGGAGCAATGTGGGGTGGGAGAATGAGCCAGCCTCACCACCCCCACCCCCACCACTTACTTGCAGATATATCTGAGCAGGTTGTAATTAGCCAGGGGAAGGCTGCTCACTTGTTTAGCCAACTCCAGAGTCCCCTTGGTATTGAAAGAGAAAAACAGCATTTCAGAGACCAGCAACTGGCCCTTCTCTTTGAGGGAGGGGTAGGGAAGGAGGCGAGGAGTGGGGAAGTGGGCTGGGGGTGGGGGGGGCCGGCACCAGAGGCCAGACTTCCAGCCACCCATGCGGCTGCCCCAGGTGACCAGAGGGCGCCACCACCACCATCTCCAAGGGGCAGCCAGGCCTGTGACCTCCTGGGCCAGCAGATTTACTTTGGGGGACTGGTATGAGTGTGTGCATCTGCAGGGCCACAGAAGAATGTCAGAGCCAGCGCTCAACTCACTTTATCTATCGAGACACAAATATTTGCCAGATAAAGACCCCTCATCTCCCCCAGGGCACAGGGAGGGCAAGCAGTCCTTCCCCAGCCAGGCGCCTGCACGCCGGGGTGGGAGCCTCTGTCCTGTCTCACATTCTTTGGGGAGAAGGCAGGATATAAACAGATGAAAGGTCTGGTTGTTTCTGAACCAGGTGGCCGCCTCAGTAGGCTGAAGTAGGTGTGGGAGTAGGTGTGGGAGTAGGAGTGCCTACTATGGGGCATACTTGGGGCATGCCCGGAACACGGCCTGCTTTAGGGGTTTCCTGCCTCTCCCAGAGACCAAGGCCTCACAAAGGGGGGCCCTACACAGAGGGAATGCTCCAGCCCTCCATCCCACAGAGCAGGGTGTTCCAGGCTGTACCCCGCCCTTCTCCCCCACCCCCCCAACACACACACACACACACACACACACACACACACACACACACACACACACACACACACACACACACACACACACAAAGCAGGCTGCAGGCAAGGATCTAAGTGCCATGAAAAATTATGAAAGTCAGAGTTTTATGTCCTGATTCCACAGCTCCCACCCTGCACCTGGCAGGCTGGCCTCCCAAGATGGTTCCCCATGAGCCACTAACCTCCCCCTCGTCCTTGGTGAGCAGCTGGGCGCAGCTGAGGAAGTCTTCATACCTGGCGAAGGGGACCACAGGCTCGGGGAGCTCCCGCAGGTAGAGCTTCAGCAAGGAGGCCACAGTGTGCACATCTGTGGTGCTGCCGGAGTTGGGGGGGCCCGCATGAGATGAGGCATGGCTGCCAGGGACTGCAGGAGTAACCAGCACCTCGACCACCCCCAGGGGCAGCCTCTGCTCTCATGCCCTTGCATGCAGTGTGTGTGTGTGTGTGTGTGTGTGTGTGTGTGTGTGTGTGTGCGCGCGCGCGCACGCACGCGCAAGAAACAGATGCAGGGGGTGGGAACTGCATCTGCATCCACTGCCCCTGCAAGGAAAGGCCCGGCTGCTTCCTGGAGCTGTGCACAGGGGGTCCAAGTTGGGGGTGGGGTGGACTTCTGGAGCTCTAGCTCAGAGACAACCCACAGCCCAGGCCCCTGCTCAGAACCCCTGGGTCTGTCCTTAGGGCTGGCAGTATCTCCCTCACAAAGAGTGTGGGACTCTCCTCTGCTGCAGAAGCCCCAGGGCTCTGCAGGGTGCAGCCGCTCCCTACACAGCAGCTGCTCTGGGTGGGAGGACTCCATGGCCCTGGGCAGGCTCACAGAGAAGGGGTCCCGGGACAGCTGGTCAGGGAACTGATGGGAGATAAAGGTCCCCTTCTGTGGGCCTCGTGGGGTAACATGGGAGCTGCAAAGCTCCTTAGGGGTGCGGGGGTGGGGCACAGCTGCCCAGACTGACGTGGGCTCCCATGGAGGGCGGTGGCCCTGGGCTCCGGCCCTGGACTTCAGTCTTGGCACCTCCTCCAAGATTGCCCTCCAGGCCAGGACTGGGCTTGGAGACTGGAGCCATACTGGTTCCCTGTGTGCGTTAACTTGTTTGCCATGTGTCCTGGCCGCTGAGTGCAGTACCTTGTCTGTCTAGTTCATGGCCACACCCCTACGCCTGGGGGTGCTCTCACTCAGTGGATCAGTGAAGTAACAAAGGGCTGTTGCAAGAGTCCATGGAGCCAGCTCTGGCTCAAATGAGATCCTCCCAGGTGCTCGGCAACAACTTGGAAGGGCTGGGAGAGCTACTACAGGCCCAGGGGCCAGGGCGGTGGGAAGGGATGAGTATGGGACACCTCTGGTGACTGAGGCTTCCAGGCTGGGGGGCTCTTTATGGAGGAGGGGAACTAGGGCCTGGGGCTAGACTTCTTTGTAGTGCAGAGTGTGACCTGCACCCAGAGCTAAGACTACCCTAGAAGGCCTCTGCCCACAGGCAGGTGAGGGAGGGGCCCCAGGACCTCTCTGCCAGGGGATGAATGAGCAGAGGAGCCTTGGGATCCCTGTCGGGGGCTGAGTGCAAAGGCAGGGCCAGAGGATCGCCACGGAGATGGTAGAAAGTGGGAAAGAACGGTGTCAGACACCCCAGGGAGCAGTTTCTAGAAGGGAGAGCATCCAGAGCCCAATGTCAAAGGTGGGTTTCCAAGAATCACAGAAAGGGCGTTATTTGAAGCAATCTCCAACCACAACCCTGGGCCACACAGGCACAAGATGGAAGAGGCCAGGCTGGCAGAGGTTCAGAATGGACCATAAGCGCAGAGTATCAAGGTGGAGCTTCACGAGGCTCCAGATGTAGGGACGCCTGTGCCCTCCTGGGCAGCCCTCCTTTGGGGAGTGGTGGCAAGTCCCAGGCTCCACATCTAAAGAAAGAAACTGACAGGCTCTCCTGGCTTTGGCGATGAGTTTGGGCAGAAGCTGGAGGGACTGAAGGTGTTCCCAGGAGGAGACCTGGCAAGGCCAGGGCTGCGGGTAGAAACCCGTGGGCCTCTCCTGGGGCAAGGGGGCCTCATCCGTGAGGGCAGATCCGAAAAGAAAGGGCAGAGGCTCCATGGAGGCGAGGGTAGGCTTGATGCAGGAAGAACTTTCTCTGTAAAACTGCCCCAAATGGGTAGGGTCCTGTCAAAGAGAAGGGGCCCCCAAACAGCCCCACCTCCCTGTTCTTAACCCCTGAGATCTTAGTGAGGTTGACTCACCCAGAGGGTGGAGCCCATCACTGATAAGCCCCAGTGATGAGTTAGGACAGGCACTGGCCCAGGGCAGGTGGAGGAGGCTCTCCCTATCCCAAAACTTGAGAGGATATGGGGCCACAGCTGCCGCTCCATCCTGGTCACCCTGAGGAAGCAGAGCCCAGAGATGGACCCTCCAGAGGGCCTGGAGTCCTGAATGGAGCAGCAGAGGTTCTTTTCTCCTGCCTGGGTAGATAGAATTTAGGGGCATCCACAGTGAAAAGAGCCTCCATGAATGTGATTGGCCTTATCTGTGGCAGGACCCATCCCTGACACCTAGGGCTACTGTGGTGATTTGGGGCCTGAGCTCTGCCCATTGGGTGGGGGCTAGTTGAGCACACACGCCCTAATGTGAGGAACAATCCTGCCCACCATCCTGCTGTCAGGGTTCCTGGGTGCCGGCTCACCCCTGCCACTGGAGCTGGCAGCTTGGGAGGAGCCCCAGCAGGGGGACAATGGGCAGGTGGCCCCATCTCACACCTCCCCCAGGAGCTCACCTGTCAAACAGTGGCTTTTCCCCACAGTCAAAGGAGTCCTGCAGGTCCCTCACCAGGTTGGCCTGGCCTGGCATGCGGAAGAGTCCCTCCTCGGTGAGCCCGCGCTCCCGGATGAAATCCACACACTGCTCCACCAGCAGGGGGGCCAGGCGGGGGCCATACTTCCGCTCATGGTAGACTGTGTCTTCCAGGCGCTGCCCAAAGATCCCTGGTCACAGAAAGATCCCTGGTCACATCCTCAGCTATCTAGCTCAGCGGTGAGGGTGCGCACTTGGGACAACAGAGGGCAGAGGAGCCGTCAGGGCCAAAGGTAGCTGCTCTTGAGAGAGCAAACTAGAAACTATGAGGGCACAGTGCAGGTGGCTGGTCCATGGGCCACCTGGGACAGAGAGCAGGAGGGCACGGCAGACAGGCGGCCTGTCAAGTCCTATAGAGCTTGTCCAATCCTGAGGAACCTTTAAAGGGCCCTCAAGGAACATGCATTGTGCATTTTATTGATTGGTTTATTTATGCAACACTAACCTCCAAAGAGGAGTGGCTTACATTTAAAAACTTAGGACACCAAAAGACAGGCTCTAGAATGTTCCTAGCAGCACAACTTGCAATCCCTGCAAATGGGATACCACCTAATGCCCATCAGCATCAGCAGCAGAATGAGCAGATACATCTGGTCTGCTCACACAGTGGAACACTGAACAGCAATGAGAAGAGATAGGGCACCGCTTATTCGACAAGACAGATGATGTATTCATGTGAAAACATAATCATGACTCAACATCACTGATCACCAAGGAAACACAAATCAAAACCACAATGACATACCACCTCACACCTATAAGGATGGTTACTATTAAAAACAAAACAAAAACAGAAAATCACAAATGTTGGTAAGGATATGGAGAAACTGGAACCCTTGTGCACTGTTGGTGAGAATATAAAATGGTGCACCACTGTGAAAAACAATATGGAGTTTCCTCAAAAAAATTAAAACAGAATTACCATATGACCCAGCAATTCCACTTCTAGGTATGTACCCAAAAGAGCTGAAAGCAGACTGGAACATACACTTATACACCCATGATTATAGCAGTATCATTCCAAAATGTTGAAGCAACCCAAATGTCCATTCATGGATGACTGGATACATAAAATGTAATGTATACACACAATGGAGTATTATTCAGCCTTAAAAAGGAAGGAAATTCTGACACGTGCTACAACAGGGATGATCCTTGAGGACATTATACCAAATGAAATAATCCAGTGACAAAAACACAAATATTGCATGATTCCACTGATATAAGGTACTTAGAATAATCAAAATCGTAGAGACATGAAGTAGAAGGGTGGTTGCCAGGGGCTGGAGGACAGGGAATGGGGAGCTAATGTTTAATAGGGACAGAGTTTCAGTTTTACAAGAAGGAAAGAGTTCTGGAGATGGATGGTAGTGATAGTTGCACACTACAAATATACTTAATGCCACTGAGTTGTATACTTAAAAATGGTTAAGATGGTAAATTTTATGTTAGCTCTATTTTACCAACACTTTTTTAAAATTTAAGAAAAAACAACACATTAAAAAACAATGCAGATACCAGACCCCGAGCACACATTTCACGACTCCATTTATGTAAAATGCAAAAGCAGGTCAGGACATAGTTACCTCCGTGGGTCAGTGAGGTAGAAGCATCGGAGGGACTTCTGGGGTGCTGGTGATGCTCTGATCCTGGACCTAGGCACTACTTACCTAGCTGTGTTCACTTTGAGAAAAATCATTAAACTACCCTTGTGACATGTACAATTTTTCCATATGCTACATTTCAATAACATTAGCAAAAAAAAAAAAAAGGGAAGCAAAAGATCCAAAACATTTTGTACAGGGCAAGAAAGCAAATGAAGCATAGAGGGAAAGCAGAACGTTTGTCTGAGAAAAGCTGTGGCAACTAAATGTACACTGGGCTGAGGTTCCTGGCAGCTCAGGCAGAGTGGAAGGAGCTAAGATCCACAAAGCTCTCAGTCTCACAGTGAGAGTAACCGGGGAAACCGCCTTTTCCAGCCCTAAGCTCTACAAGGATTCTGAAGTGCCCATTATCCACGAGGCAGGGACCTTCCCTGCAGGGTGGCTTTAGGAGTGTGCCAGGGGCATGATGCCACAGCTCCGTTCTGTCCAGGTAGGTCTGTGGTCCCTGAGGGACGCGGTCCAGGCAGGTGGCTTTCCAGCACTTGGATGGCAAGCCAGCAGCTAAGAGGTTCAGTCTCTCCTCTGGCACTGAGTACTGGCAGGAATCAGGGAGCCTACTTGGTTCCCCACATACAACGGCTATTTTGAAATAAGGTACATCAGTGCTGGGAGCCGTCTGCGCCTCAGTATCTGACATGGCCAAACAC